GAACTTTTCTTGTGGCTCTTTTTTTTTCTTTTTTGCTGAGCGATTTATAACTCGTCATTTTCTTCTAAATACAAAGCCGCATTTATGGCCTTTTTAAAGAAAAATTATTTTATTGCCTTTTTTTAAATTCTACAACAATCTATTAAAATCCATCCTCGGATGAATTTAATTAAATTTGAATAATTTTTCATTTTTATTTCATATACGAGGTTGTTTTTTTCCTTTTAAATCATTTTCAGGTATTTGTTTTGTACATGTTAATATAAATATCCTATATTTCATACTTATAACCTTTGAGATTTTGTTAAAGAGTTTAAGAATAACCGAGAGACATTCTTGATTCCCTATTTAATGTAAAGATATAAGAGAACACATAAATGTAGGGAATTGATAGAAATGGAGAGATTTGAAGCAAAAAAAAAAATAAATATATTTCTTTATTATACCTAAGGAATCACTGTCTAGTTTGGAGAGTATGCCAAGGCATCAACAATAGTTGGAAACATGGTATAATTTGCATAAAGGGCGAAGCCCGTTATGCTAAAATCATCCCATGCTTCCCATTATTGTTGATGTCCCTTGCAGACTCTCCTAACTAGACAGTGATTCCTTATATTCCCATTTCATTGTAAAGTAAAATTGTAGACTAATACATTAAAAATGTAGACTAATAGATTTAAATTACACAAGGACTTCAATGCAAATTCCAATAGTTCTCGCACACTGACGTCAAACACAAAGGCAGATATACATGCATATTTTGCCTCCTTAACGTCAGATACAGAGACAAATGCGCACGATATTTGCATGCATATTAGGCCTCCTTAGCTGCTGACGTATCGACCAGCCTAATTTACATTCCGGCAGAATTATCATTAAATAAACTCCCCAAACATTCAAACAGTTATCACAGAGAAAAAAATTATAAATAGAAATATTATTGCATAAACTGTTTACTTTAATCAATAGGTTATCTTTAATTTCATTACACTGACAGCATCTCTGTAATGTCATTAAAACTGGTCCATTATTTCTCTGAAGCGATTCCAATCGCTAAAAGATTTCTATCATTTTAGTTTCGGGCTTGCATTTAAGGTAGACATAAAACATATACATTTCAATTGATAAATACTTGACAGTAAAGAACGTTTTCAGATAAGTTATCCCTAAATAAAACTTTATTTTATTTTAGTCAGTGTGAGATAACCAACAATTGGACAGGCGCGTAACATGGTGGTCTCCCTGCTTTTCAAAGACATACGCTTTCTTTAGGAAATGTTTATGAAAAGTCCACCCAATATTATTAAAATTAGTTATCAGATCCTCTCGCATACTCGCTAGAGTAACAACAATCAAAAGAGGGTCATGTCAGAGGTCAAATTCGAATGTTGGAAAGAAAAGAAAAGCTAATGTTGGAAAGAAAAGAAAAGCTCCTGGTAAGGCGACACCTGAACGTGTGAATATCATCACGACAGATCCAGAAGTTCAAGGTGGCTTCACTTTTACCGCACAGACAGCGCGTTCAACATTACAATGTGTAGAGTGCTTGAAACCACGTGTAATATATGGAAAATTTAAACTGTGTGGAAGACAGGAGATCCAACTTGCACAGAACATGAGTGAATTCAACTTCAGCTGTGGTGCCCCATTAGCACCGCCAGGACACGCTCTACATGGAAAGCTTACGGTGAAATTAGGAATTGATTGTTCGTCTCCATTAGAAGTAGCGTACTATTCTTCATCCCAGGCTTTTGGACCAATGTTTTTATTGTGGAAAGGAAGGCGCATCTTTTGACATTACTTTAAAAGAAAAGTTTCAATCTGTATTGCCTGTGTGCGGGTCTTGCGTAGAGAAAGGCCTTTCTTACCCCACCTTTAGACCTTATGGAAAAACAAAGAAATGATTTGCAAGACTTTCTTTTGGCATGATTCATTGTTATTAAACAATGCACAATACAAAAAAAACATCTTCAATATGTATACTGGTGAATATCTGTTATTTTCGAATGAAACACCATCTAACATCTTATTTAAACATGACAAAAACAGGAATATGACCCAGTGACAATCTCTATTTAAAGAAATCTTTGGTATTTACATCAAATAATAGTATTTTGCATATACTATGGCTTAATTAAAGTACATATTATATAAATGCAATAAGTTTCATATTGAAAAAAAATAATACGAAAGCTTTAAAAAAAGTATTGTTTTATTTTTCATTTACCAATGATTCATTTAAATATGTTTTTGGTACTATACATGAAAAATTATTGTCTATACATGTTATTCGCAGTCTGAAAAGGAAATTAAAAAAAAAATGCCTACCTACCTACCCTATTTTTTTTTTAGCCTGAAAGCTGAAACAAACATATTTTTTTTTCTAGGCCTTAGTTGATTATTTTCCCTTTGGTTGCACCCTCTCACTTTCGAAATTTGAACTACGCCATTGAGGACAAAAGTCTATTCAACAGTAAATATGTTTATCCATGCATCTGTCAGTACTACTAATACATGGCAAACTATACTAACTAGGCAGTGATTCCTTATATTTTCATTTCATTGTGAAATAAAATTGTAGTTAAGACTTTTAAAATGTAGGCACATATTTAAATTACACGAGTCTCCCATGCAAATTTCAATAGCCCTTGTCAACTGACGTCAAACAAAGTTAGCTGCTTGAGATTTACATGCATATTTTTTCTCCATAGCGTCAGAAACATAGACACATTATCTCCTGACCTATATCAACCTGCCTTGTTTGCATTCTAGTAGAATTAGCAAGAAATCAACTCCGCTTACTTTCAAAGAGTAATCACAGTGAAAAAAAAAGATCTTGAAATATTTATTTCAAAATATTGTGATCTTTGAAAGTTCGATTTTCAATAGAATAAATCATCTACCACCCTTTTTCACGAGCTAGAAATAGGAATAATTTACTACTTAGCGCTGGAATTTAAACAATTCATCAATTACCATTGAACTGTTCTTTGTATTAAACAACAATGTTAGAGCCAAATGACCTTTAATATTGAAAAAAATGGATGCAAAATGTAGGCGCGAATCGAGAGTTAGCGAGCTTATTTGAAAATGTTTTTGTAGGAAAAAGGGCTAAAGCCTTTATGTATGATTAATTCCTTAAAACAAATTAGTTCACCCATTTATTGAAGGCATTCTTAAAAAAAAGAAAAGCATAAAATATTAAAATCGACCTTCTTCATACTGTATACTAACACGCAGTACAGAGCATCAACGGATCGAAGACACGGGTTGAATTTTCGTACATGTACCTTGTCATGACAGCGGACATAAATTATAATTAATCAAAATTTTCAGTTTTATTTTGTTCTATTTTTCTGTAACACGCTATTCAACGCGTTATCGGCTACTCGGTTGTTTTCGGACAGTCGGTAGAAAATGTGGGTAATTTTAAATTTCATAATTCATAGACAAATTGTATTTCAGCAAAAACAGTTTGTGATCTTTGACGATAATTGATCAAACTCTCAGCAGCAGAAAGCACAAACCAAATCACTCTCTTTCGAAAGATCTTCGGCTCTTTCAAATGATTTTTTATAGTCATCACATTATAACTTTTTTCAAATTCAAAATGAGTTTATTCTATAAAACAGAGTGGTCTGTTTTTTCTTTAGAAAATCATATACCTTTAGATCAGCAAAGGGAGATTAAAAATGCAAATAAAGGCTAGTTTATAGCCATTTAAGATGTCTCAGTAGTTGAAAACATGTTATCGTCAACAATCTTGATGTAGCCGAACAATGGTTTTGATGGGTGTACACATGTACTTAAACTCAGGTTAAAAAGTTTTTCTTTAGCTTTACAAGATGTAGAAATACATTGGAAAAAATCCATTATAATCTGAGAATCCTTGAAAAAAAGCAAACACAATGTATTATAAGTAATTTTTTAAAAAGTTCTAGATAGCCATTAAACTTTGTTTAATAAAAATGTATATAAATAGGATTGACAATATATATTTACATGTATAACAGAATTACATGTACTTACATGTATGTATTCAATCATTTTTCTTGTTTTCCACAAGTTATTCTTTATAAGCTTCAATGTATGATTTATCATAACAATTACTTTCGTCTCCCGATTGATTGATTGTATACTGTTTAACGTCCCTCTCCAGAATATTTCACTGATATGGAGACGTCACCATTGCCGCTGAAGGGCTGCAAATTTAGGCCTATGCTCGGCACTTACGGCCGATATACATTGTTTGTATAACATTATTTAAAAACAAAATCAAGTTCAAATTCCCCAGAGCCCCGGAGGACTAAGAGATTTTTTTCACGTAATGCAAAAAGGTGCAATGAATTAATTGTATACCGTATAACGCAGAGTTTTTTATTCACCTCCAAACCATTTATAGTTGTGTCTACAGGCAATAACCTCGCTTGAAGATAATTTTAAGCAATCTAACATATAATTTCAATCAAGCGACTTTGTCACTTGTAGAGAAGACCATAAGGGTTGGGAGATGGATAAAATAAACAGATTACTTAAATAATGTGCCTTGAATTAGGGAGTGAAAGATACTTAGTAGTTAATTGATCGATGCTGGAGGTGGAGAAATTCTCCCCAAAAGAGCGCAAAAAATATTGCGCCGTAAATTGCATCTATTTTGCATTAGGAAAAAAAACATTAAGAACAAATAGTTTTATTTCAGTTTTAATATTTAATTAAATAACTTCATTTAAAATTAAGAAACACGGTTTGTTTTTTCTATGGTTTCCAGTTTTTATCCTGAAATTTCATGACAGCAATTAGAACATGTTAATTTTGTTGGTAAATTTATTCAAAAACTTTCAAGTACATGTAACAACAACAAACACATTGATCAAGCAAGTTTTCTGCACCACCTCCGAAATAAAAAAAAATAATAAAAAGCAATTTTAGCTAAATGTCAAAATTTACACAATTTGAAAATACACTTGTATGTACCTTTTCTGTAGCGAAAAAAAAAGATCAAAAGAATTTTTATAAACTTTTGCTGAAGAGTTGTTGTTCAAAAATCAGGACTTCAAAGTAAGGAAATAATACAGCAGCCCTAGAGTAATAGCGACCAGACTGTGTTTCTTCTCACAGGCACCTGGAAAACAAAAACAATTACATTATCTATAAATCAGCACCCATATAAAAATATATACACTCTCAAAAACAGCCACCAGTTTTAAAAAACCCAAAGAATATAAATTTACTTCATTGAAAATTTAAAACAAGTAGATTGACTGATTGATTGTATGTTGTTTAACGTCCCTCTCCAGAATTTTTCACTCATATGGAGACGCCACCACTTGCCGGTGGAGGGCTACAAATTTTGTCCTATGCTCGGCACTCAGGGCCTTTGAGCAGTGAGGGATCTTTTCGTGCAAGGACCTACTGCGACAGGGAGCCTCGGTTTATACGGTCTCAACCGAAGGACCGATCTCCACGTCCCACATTGGGATTCGAACCCGCGACGTAAGGATTGACTCCTTACTTCGCGACTCTAGAGCAGACGCTCTAACCACTGCGCCAAGCGGGCGACTTAAACAAGTTGAATTTTAGACAATATTTTTGAAAATCACACAATTTGTTCTTCATTTTTCTTTTACAAATTAAAGAAAATGAAAAATTTTCTAGGGTACGGACTTGAAATAAAACATACCACAATAAAAATCAAGATTTTGACCATAACCTGTTCTTACATTCTGGGCCTGATAAGAAAACCAGAAGTCTCTGTCGAGACTGAAGCTCTATGGTTTGTACTTAAAGCAAAGGAAGAGGAAAGTACTTAAGCAGTTGGAAATTGAAACTTTTCAGCAGCAATAAATAGAATAATGATCCTTGATTACCTCTATTTATGTTCTTAGTGTAGTCTACTTGCAAAGTACTAAAGCAGTTGGGTATTGAAACTTTTCAACAGCAATAAATAGAAAAATGATCCTTGATTACGTCTATTTATGTTCTTAGTGTAGTCTACTTGCAAGCCACATTATATTATAATCAGACTAAAACTGTATTTGGAGTAGCATTTTGAGAGTATTTTACAGAAATTTCTATTTTTAGTAACCATGGCAACACCATTCATTGAAATGAAAAAATGATATACAGAATTATGTATCTTAGTGTATTGATATATAGAATTATGTATCTAATTGTAGTCTACTTGTGTGCCAAGTTATATTGAAATCAGTCCAAAACTGTAGGAGAAGTAGCATTTTGAAAGGATTTCATAGAAATTTCTATATTTGGTAACCACGGCAACATCGTTCATCGAAATAAAAAATCCATATACAGAATTATGTATCTAATTGTAGTCTACTTGTGTGCCAAGTTATATTGAAATCAGACCAAAACAGAAGGAGGAGTAGCATTTTGAAAGAATTTCACAGAATTTTCTATTTTTAGTAACCACGGCAACACCGTTCATCGAAATCAAAAAATCGATATATAGAATTATGTATCTTATTGTAGTCTACTTGTGTGTCAAGGTATGTTGAAATCAGCCCAAAACTGTAGGAGGAGTAGCATTTTGAAAAATTGTTTACAGACAGACAGACAGGCGGATGGACGACGGACGCATTACTATCGCATAAGCTCTTCTGGTCTCTGACCAGTAGAGCTAATAAAATCAAGAACAAATATTTACAGTAGAGAGATACATGTGTTAGTTTCTCCTACTACTTACCGCATTTATGCGCTTTTCGGATATCTTTCATCTCCTTTTGAATATGTTTGGCCTGACTGATAACGAGGCCAACGTCTGCAACATGGGGATTTGCTTTGCAGTCATCAAGTATATTGTTTAGGCATATATCGTATTCTCTTGCAGCACTAGTTAACAGAAAAAAACGTTATTTTCTATAAAACCAAAGAATACTCGGTGCAGATATGTTTTGTTTAATTGTTCTTTCTTTCAATTTTCACTCTAAGCTTTAACTTTTACTTTTCATAATTACAAAGAAGACATGATATTGTAGATATTTATATCAATACAAGTTGAAAGTTAGGATGGTATATTAAGGACACGTAGTTATTTGTTTCGAAGATACCACAAAAAATGATCTTGTGAAAAGGAGATATCTTACGTAAACGAGACATTTTCATATGAAAACAACTTATTTTGTTAAACGAGATATTATCTTGCGAAAACTGCTCCTCCAATCGATGTTTACTAAATTCAAATTTAATTTTATTCCTCTATTCATATTGTGGAGTTATTAATTAATTAAATAATAATTCCATTCGAAAAATTGTATAATTAAAATAGTTTCCGGAGGAAAAAATCCAAGTTTGAAGCGTGAGACACGACTAACCTGCAGATGTAGGCATCGTTATGGAATCGATGCAATTTAACTTGGGTATATTCATTATAACACTTCCATCTTTCGGCCATCGAACATTTGGTAGTAGCAAAGCATCCTTAATTGTGAAAATAAATTTTAAAAATTGCATCTTAATAAAAGGATGGACACAAATATCATCACAAATAAAGTTTTTAGATATTTCAAATGTATTACGTACCTCGAGGAAAGTTGATGAAAGCCAAGCATGTTAATATAATAGCGGGTTGAAGTTTCTGCATTTCTCCTGTTATAAAAATTAAACATATTTTGTAAAATGTTCATCAATGATTTTCAGACATTTACTTAATTTATAACAATGTCCACTTATTATCGTTAGCTACACCTTTCATTTCATTATTGTAACACCGTGATCGCGGGAGGCCGTGAGTTCGTATCTCCGCCGCAAATGACCTAGTCGATTAAATTGGTAGCAACTGTTCCTTCGCCATGCGTTCGGCATTTTGAAGTGAAAGTTTAGGGTCCTTTGGATGAAACCTTAAATACCAAGGCCCAATGTCAGCGGCAGTCGTTGGGACGATAAAGAACCTTCACTGCTCAATGGCCCTGAGTGCCGAGTTAAGGTAAAAAAAAATTGAAGCCCTTTACCGACACACGTTAACGTCTCCTTATGAGTGAAAAATTCTCGAGAGGGCCGTTTAAATATGTACAATCAATCAATCTTTATAACATATCTTATCAAATAAAAGTTATTTTATTATTTTTCAGAAAATCTACGAACATCTTTAAAACTGTACATGTACATTCTTAATTACAATAATGTAGTCCTTTCGCAAATTTCGGCACAAATGATCAGTTCATAGATATTTATACTTTTCTTGCCTACATGTTAAAGTCCAAAAAAAAATCAGACAGAGAATTCACTCCCTGGAGAACGCAAAAATCATCAATCTATTGTATTGTAAAAGTTTAGTATCATACCTCTTTGGAAAATTCTAGAACAGCAAGTCCGGTAAGATTTATTCATTGTAAGGTTTCAAGCTTCCCGTAATCCTTTTATACAACCTTGTCACTTTGAGAGAAAATTAGGATGTTGATTGTTCAAACATGTGGCATTTTTATTCTCAAAACCTCGTTTAAAAGATATATTTTCATCAACTTAGAATAATTTTACATTTGATTTTCATTAAGTTGTTTATTTTGCCGATGTTTACATTGAACAAGAATGTCAATTCCCAAAATGTGTTTGTTTGAATACATTTCATTTTGGCCGGGGGGGGGGGGGGGGCTTCAAGCCTCAATGACATTCATATATTGCTTATTTTAAACATAGAATATAAATGTCATTTACGTATGAAAAAGTATTTGTGTTATTTTGCAAGTAGAAATTTTTAAGAATTTCAAAACGATTATTCTGACATTGAAACAGTGAGCAAAGAAGATAAATGTTTGTCTGCTTTTAACACGTTTCTGGGTGGCTCTTTTTCTTTTTACAATTTGTCGTTTTTACGATGTCAGGCATAATGGCTTTAAAAGAAGATTTATTATTGCTTTTTAAACATTCAACAAACTATTAAAATTCATTCAGAGATGAATTTCATAAAATTTGAATAATTTCAATTTTTTACCACATTCGAAGTTGCTGCTGTTGTTTTTACATCATTTGAGGTTGTTTGTTTTGAACATGTTTATCTTATCCAATATTTCATAATTTTAACCTCCAAGATTTTGTTAATAATTTTACACATGACTGACAGTTATTCTCGTATATTTAAATATTTAATTGCCCTGCCTGCACTACCCCCAGGGGTCATGAATTAAGCCAACTAAAATCTACATTACCTAAGGGTGCTCCAATACAAATATGACAAATTATGGCTTTTCTATTCTTGAGAAGATTTTTCAAGAATTTTCCTGTATACATGTATTTCTATAAAAAACTTTGATCGGTCATTGAGGCCTCGCCCTATCCCCCGATCTCATGATTTGAACAAAGCCCTATCTACACTACCCGAGGATGCTTCCATACAAATAAGTTAATTAATGCCTTTTCTATTCTTGAGAAAAAAATTTTAAAAGAATTTCCTATATATTTCTGTGTAAAACTTTGATCGGCTATTGTGGCCCCAACCTACCCCCGGGGGTCATGATTTGAACAGACTTGAATCTACACTACCTGAAGATGCTTCCATTTACATTTTAGCTTTCCTGGCACAGTGGTTCTTGAAAAGAAGATTTTAAGGAATTCCCTTATAAATAATTTCTATGTGAAACTTTGATCGACAATCGTGGCCCTATCCTTCCCCAAGGGGTATTGATTTGAATAGACCTACTCTACCTGAGGATGCTTCCCTGCAAATTTCATATTTCCTCGCACAGTGGTTCTCGAGTCAGAGAAGATTTTTAAAACATACCAACAAGTTATCACTTTTTCTGAAATATGTCCCCTTAAATAAGGACGTGGCACTTCATTTAAACAAACTTGAATCCCCTTTACCTAAGGATACTTTGTAGCAAGTTTTGTTGAAATTGGCCCAGTAGTTCTTGAAATAAGATTAAATTGTGAAAAGTTTGAACGACAATGTTATCAGACGACGGACAAATTCTGATCAGATCTAAAAAAAAAAGTTGGTAAAACATTTAATTGAGCATGAATCAGATATATATATATATATATATTTTAAATACATGTGGTCTTATTTAGTCTAGAGTAAACAAAAATAATGATTGCTTAAAGAAAATCTCACTTATTTACGAAATAGGAGTGATCAACTTGTAAAAGATTACTTTTGTTTGTTTGTTTAACGATCCTTTCGAGAATATCTCAATCATCGGAGACGCCTCCACTTGCCGATGAAGAGATGGAAATTCAAATACCCGACACTCAGGGCCATTGAGCAGGGATCTTTTTTGTGCTAGCACCTACTGCGACACGGGGCCTCGTTCATACTGTGCCACGAAGCATCTTTTTGAAAGTGGGGAGGGGGCAGCCAATGAAATGTTTTTTTTCACTTACCTGAAAAAGTTGAGCAATTAAAAAGAAAAAGGAAAAATTACCGAAAGTCGAAAAGCCTACCTCAAAGGGGGGGGGGATTTAGTGGCCATATTTTAGAAAGCTTTAAATTCTTTCAGTACCAATTTTTTATAACATTCCATACATTTCCCTTGTATATGTATAAATTACCTGTATTATACTTTGGGTGGATCGATCTTTAAATTAAAATTTCCTACAGTAAAAGTAAGGTTTTGGAAAAAAGCAGGGGCCAGCCCCCTT